CTTGTTGCATCATGAGGGTGGCCCTCCTATCTGAGAACCATTCCTATCTGAGAACCATACAGTATATGAGATTTTTCACTCACTGCAAAAAAAAAGATAATCAGTTCTTCAGAGCTGATTTGTTTTTCTTCCCCTTTCTTTGGAAATGAGTCATCCTCTGTTTCCTATGTGAAACACGGTAGATGGTTTGAGGAATACCTCTAAGTTTTAGTCTTGCTTTAAGCATCAAAATCTTCTCCATAAACATCCATCACTTAGAGGATCCTCAAGCTATATAGAGTATTTGGCCCTCACTCTGACCTTATATTCAGGCTTTATGTATAACCTGTACAATGAAACCATCAAGTGTCAGGTTGGCAGCAGCCCAAGATGTGATTGCCCAAACTAGCACAGGTTTATCTCAGGTGATATATTTGATCACAACAGCAATGTAAATGTGCAAGTGGCCACATCAGAAGAGCAGCAGGTGGAAATTGAAGCTCAGGGTGTCCCCCACAAGGAGCAGACCCTCTGATGGATGAAATCTCATTTAGACAAGGCAGAGAAACTACAGACCCCAGGATGCCTTTTGTTTCTGCTATGCCTTTACATGTTTCCTTCTGCTGTGAGTATGGGGAGATCCCACTGCCTGTATGGAGTACGTTTATCTCATGAATACATCCCAATCTACTGGGCATTTTTACCTGTGGATTGCCAAGAAGATGACCCCTCCATAAGGTGTACTATCTAAATGATAATAATAATGTTAGCTTAGAATTTTGATAATTAAAAATATAAACAAAGAAGTGTCACACTGCTACAACATATGAGCTTCTATTAAGAAAAGAAATTGAGTCCCAATAGCCCAGCTAGATTAAATTTGTTTAACCTTAATGTTGGTAGATGTTTTCATGGATTTCAGAGCTAATCACAGCTGAAACAAAGCTTTGAAAATAACAAAGGTATACTAAGATGATTTTGTGAAATAGCTTTGAGGTGGAAATAACCAAAAAGACAATCCAAAGTTCTCGAAAGTCCAACAGTTAAGTGTAGAACTTGTTAAGTTCATGGAACAAGATCAAAGAAGCCTAATTATCATTGGCTGACATACCTTTCCTGATACGATTGGTTGATGAAAAAAGGTGGTGATTGATTCCTTATACCAATTTTTGCCCTAAAACTCCAGATATAAAAAAGTATTGATGAGTGGGTATGTACCCTAAAGACTTAAAGTAAAGCTGACTGATTCTCTTTTTTTTCACTTGACAAAATGTTTACAAATTTTGATTTCCAATAGAGCAAGCACTGGTCATGCAAATACATGAAAATAAACACAAATGTGTACAGTATTCATGTAAATACATGCAAATAAATATTTTCCTACTCTATTCATAAACCTATGCCCTCAAAATATTTTGGCGAAAAAAGCATTTACAGTGAAGCTCTAATAAGCTATAGCACACTTGTCTGAAACACTAAACGTGTTATTTGCATGTAGATTGCAGTGATTGTTACTATATAACTGAGAATCATATTATGGAAAATTATCGTTCACTGGGTTCTCTGGATGGTACTTACTTTTCATTAAACAAATGAAGGCAAGGTCTACAAACTCAATAATATAGACCGTGCATTATCTTCACATCCCTAAATCTCCAGTGCCAAGCACACTATTCAAAATATAATTGTTTAGGGTAGGCATTGATTTAATATATGAGTGCCTTCTACTTTAAAGATATGTAGTTTTTGCATTATGTTCCTCATGTTGATGACCTCATCTGAGCTTTCTACGAAGTACCTAAACTTTCTTCTTTAGTTAAGTTTGGGTGTTTAATGCTTGGTCAAGTTCTTTTGTAATGATATATTGGGACAGATTCAAGGCTTCTCAGAACTCTTCCGCCACCCTCCAAAATTATGGAGTTCAATTTACCATGCCACTCATATTAATCATAAACAAAAGTTAAAGTTTGGGATACCTTTAAGATTCCTTATAAGATTACCTTTCAAGATAAGTAAAAAAGTAATTGGAGCTTTCTTTGTAACTGCAAAATGCAGCCTGCCAGAAAAAGATCTAACTGAAAAGAATACCTTGCTTGCCCACACAGTTAATCAAGAACAACTTCCTTGAAATGAATGCATGTGGTTTCTTGGGATAATTTTGTTTTCACCTGTAATACATAAAATGTTTAATCATGTAAGGGTTATGGAAAACATCCTGTTTTTTTAACACACTGTTTTTTGCTGTTTGTTTTGTATTCATTGTAATCATTCATTTGAAAAGTAGAATGTAACCACATTGCAATTCCTATGTTGCCTAAAAATTTTTTGAGATATATAAGCTGTAGAAAGAAGGGATACAGTAGAAAGAACATGAGAGGAACTTAGAAGAAAGAAGGAAATCATAAAGAGATTGTGTCTTTTCCCTACACCCCCTCAGGTAGAAAAGTCTTAGCTTATGCTGCTGCTGAGGATTCCTATCAAGGCCCTATGCTGTTCAGGGCTATCCCTCAGACAGCAGTATGAATGTACTTAGGGTAAAAAGGTGAGTTTACGTTTATCTCATTGTTGTGAAATTAGCCGTTCACAAAGATGGTACCTGTGACTCTCTGCTGTGTCATTGTACACTTAGCAGTTCCCTTAGTAACCATTGTCAACCAATAGTGGCAGAAAAGAGATTTTTACCCATCTCTTTCAGAATAACTGCTCTTTTTTCCTTAATGTAAAATCACAGCAAATGCTACTCAAGCCACTTTTCACAATTCAGTCTTCTTATTTACATTACCCAATAAGTGGCTTCACAATTCCTCCCCAAGTAACAACTCTTGTGCAGTATGCGCAGGTCATAATTTGTTTGAAACTGCCAATTGTCTATGGGACCCTCTAGAACATGCAAACTCTGTGTCATGGCCCTCTATTTCTCCATCCTTCTCTTCCCATCCTTGTTCTTAAGTCCAGATTTCTGCCCCTATTTCTCATCTCTTCCCACAAACCCTGACTATCCCTCCCCTGCCTACCTCTTCCTTTTTCTGCTCTTTATTAGATCAATTAGGTGCCTCAGACAGGCAATGTAAAACAAATGCATCAAGTATTTATATAATTGAACAAAGGTAACATAAACAAATATAACACATCTTTATCACTAACAAAGGCAGCATAAACAAATGTAACACATCTTTTGCCTAGTTGAAGTAATATTCCACAACAGCACATTTTCTCAACACTTTCCAGTTACATTCTTCCTATCAAAAAGAGAAAGACATGGTTCCATTACTGCTAAACATTCTTAAGTAATGGACTACATGCCAAGCTTCTAGTGTTGGAATGATCATGACTAGGTTTACGGTTTATTGGGGGGAAGTCCTATGTATATGTCAATAAAGCACTGCTGGCCAATAGGAATCTAGATAGGTGGGACTAGGAGTCCAGGAGGACTCTGGGAAGGAGGAACACAGAGATTCAAGATGTAACGCCATAGGGTAGGAAGCCCGGAACTATTCTCCGGTAAGAGAAATGCTTAGATTAACAATTATGGGGTAATTACTTAAGTCAGAGCTAGCCAGTAAGAAACAAGCAAGGCCAGCAGCTTCATAATTAATATAGCCTCCTGTGTGTTTATTTGGGACTGATGCGGCTCTAGAACCAGGCTGGCAGGAAGGCTTCTCTCAAGGAAAAAGCTTCTCTTTACAAAGGTTTATTCTGCATATGGGAGTTTTAGATTTAGAAATGTCAGTCGGAAACCTTGCCATCACAAAAGACATCAGGAATGTACACTCTGGTTGTGCCTGGGAAGCAAGGAAGCCTTCACACTCTTGTACAAATAATCCTGCAGAATCACTTGGTCTTAGATACGTTGGTGTATCAAGGACCCAGACCATAGCACAACTGACTCCATGATGGAAGTCCTATTCAGGCTGTAAAATTCAGTATTTATGCATCACCAGCAAAACAAAACAAAGGACTAATCCATTAAAGGCCATAATTATGGAAAAGTCTCTAACTGCACTTTTATTTTTGGCATCTGTAGTTCTGCTTCGGGGTAACTATTCTTGATAACTGAAGTATGTCATCTCAGAACATGAGTTTTGTACTTACAAGCTCACCCTGAGAAAGGCTCAGTGCTATATTAGAATCCTGAACACCCAGTGTAGAAGCCTACTGGCTAATAAAAACTTTCTATGGGCTTTAATGCATGTGCCAGGAGTCACCTGTGGTGGATTCCCTGACAACACTGGCAGTCTGATGCTTCTGGTGAACAGTTCCCATATGACACTCACACATTGTTCTGTCTAAGGGGCATGGAAGGTTCACAAAGAAGAGGGAGAGGATTGTTTAAGACTAAACAGTATTAGAGTCAAATATATTGTGAGGTCAGAGCACAAAAATTCAACTCCTAAGGCGGGAGTTATTTCCAGAAGAAGTCATTCCCACTAAAATTATTCAATAGCCACCACTTTATTTCACACCTTATCATATGTATTTGTGAAAAGCATATAATGAATTAACTCATATTGCAAGTAAACAAGGATAATTAGATTTTATTTGTTTGTTTGTTTATATATGTGTGTGTGTCTGTGTAACATATAAGTGCAGGTGTCCACCATGGACAGGAGATGGTGTGAGATCCCCTTGGAGATGGAGGGTATAAGCCACATGACATGGGTGCTGGAAATAGAACTTCCCTAACCACTGGATATTCTGTCCAATTCCCAAAAGATTTGTTTGATGAAGAGAATACTTTAAGATTTTATTAAAATCAAAGCTATGACATTGAGAGTTTTGAGTTGTCAGGTTACACAATATAAAATTAAGATTTTGATTTTTAGGTGTCATCAAGTAGTTGACCATAGAAGATAAAATCTTGAAATTCCAGGGTCTCAGAATTTAAAAGAGCAATGAGAGTTCAGCCTTCTGTCCTGTATCCTACACACAGATTCACCCAATCTTCTAGTACAATAGAACCTGATGACAACAATCTTCAAAGCACTGTAGACTTCAGAGCAAAAGAATCATCATAATAAGATTCAGCATTCACCATTACGTATAAATGTAATGGAACCACCGCTTTTTCTGTAAAGAAAAAAATAAAAGAGGTCAAAAAGAAATTTCTGAAAGAAAACATCAAACACTTTGGTAAGTGTACCATGTAATTTTCAAAAGGGAAAGATTGAATTATAGACATTAATTTCTCCTTCTATGAGCAACTAGACCCTGACTGTTCCCAACATCTGCACAATTCTAACTGTAGGTGTACTGGATCCTTTCTATTATCTCAACTCTGCCTTAGTCATGGAGGTTGGCAGCCTAAGAAAAGAAAAGAATTAGGGATTGCCTATAGACATTGATTAAAGATTATTCAATGGAAAAGCCAGCAAGATCATGTGATAGGAAATAGCAGAAGAAATATTTATGCATGAGACTCAACTATCTAACCACAGACCAAAAAGGACAAGAATATTGGATAGAGGTATCCTACAACATCCTGTCATGCAGAATCATTCATGGAGTTCAGGAGTCAAGGGAATCCTCCCAGGGAGTGTCTTTCTACCATGATAGATTGCAGACTATAGCAGACATCTGTTGAGCATCAGGGTTTTGATATTAGTAATTCCTAATAATTAAGTTCATTGATTTCTTTCTTTGTGTAATGTTCAACACAACTACCTGCTTAAGTACCAAATGCAAAAGCCTATTTCAAAAATCACAATATTTAAGGGAGGTACATATGTTTCTTTGTCTTTTGTAGCACATTGTTTTGTAGGGTCATTTTGTTCTATGTACTATGAGCATGGAATATCAATAACACAAACCTGAGATTTTGCTACTAAGTCTTCATCACTTCGGAAGAATTGGTATTTAGTACTGCATTCTTACCTGTGTGCAATACAGAAAGTGCATCTGTTGCCGTAAGTTTCGCCATCGCTTGCACAGACTGGATAATACTCTTTGGTACAATACCCTTTAGAATCATACTTAGAACACATGTTCTGGAAAATACACAAAGATAGCATAACTGTATTAGATGATGGGTGATGGGATAAAATGTTCTTTCTTAATATGTATTGTCACAAAAATAATTTAAATGTAATATACACATAGATGTAAAGGGCATATAACACATATGAAATGAGAAAATGATTATCATATTTTTAGTTTTTAAGTCTCTAATAATATAATAAGAACACCACACTGTTGGTAGAACATGAGCTTGTAAAGCTAACAACTCAAATTATGACATGTGTGGTTCCCTACCAAACAACATTCCCTTCATCCCCCATCGTCAAATTGAAATTTTTTTGATTATTCACTTATTCCTCTGTAACTTCTCCTCAATTTGATGCATATATACCACATGTTTACATATCAACACGTATAATTTAAAGTACATGTTCATAAACACACTTATTCAATTTTAGATATTCTATAATTTATATAACAAAAGCAATATTATATATGTGACTTACTTTTTATGCATCTTGTGTACAGATGTACAGATGTATTGATATTTAGAGGGACAATATATTTGTTTTCAAATTTAACATTTATTTTCAATGTAACATTCTACCATGTAAGTATGTGGAAATTACCATTTTTAGAAGTAAGTTAAACATTGAAATGTCCTTACTGGGCTGTATACATATTGAATTACACATATGATTCACAATAACTGGAATTTAGAGTTGAGATACTCACCATCCCACTTTGTATCAATAATAATTTTGTTTGCATTTAATTGATGTACTACAATGTACCATTTTTTAACTTCTGAAGAATTTACTTTTTGGTAAATTTTACATTAAGTTGCTCTGTGTATAAAAATGAAAGCATTACTTTTTTAATTTTTCATATAAAATAATAGTAACTTACTGGTTTCCTGGAAAATATTGATCTTATAAAGGCACAATCTAAAAATGGAGCAGAGAAAACAGATAAAAATTAAGAAAAACAACCTTGCCTATATTGTTTTGGTGAGAAGTACCTACATCTAAAGATACCAGACATTGATATAAATTGCTCTCAGCTGTAAGTAATAAATGAAACTTTTGTGGTAGTGGTAATAAATTAACTAAAAGTACATGCAAATCTAGACAATTCTATTTCCAAAAATATAGCTCTATTAAAAGTATTGCACTGGACATATGAACATTATATGACTTTTTATGTGAAATACCCTGGCTTCAGGGTTCAAAATATGTCACGTATTGACTTAAGTTTAAAAACATTAAACAGTTATAATTCTATAATTTTAAGGAACTATACAAACTTTCACAAATGCCTCATTTTGAAATTACCTAAAATCTTTTACTACTTGGAGAATAAAACACCCCCTAATGTAGGCCAAAATATACAGTGCCTAAAGTAGTCAAACAAAATGGATTTTCCACAAATGGCATATTTATGGGCATTATCCTTTCCCCAACTTAGCATTTACCAGTAGAATTAAGTTAGCAATCTGGAGTACAAATGAGCAGAGGCTGAAAGTCTACACAACCTGTTATAACCCACTATTCTCTTCAAATATTTCCAGTGTGGACTCATTAGAAGAAATCAATCGCTGCTCTAATTTAGAGACTTTTGTAACATGACCACCTTAAGGACTACAATGCAAGTAAGACAGTCTCATTCATTCATATGTAGTTTTTTCAAAGTTTTGTCCTCCCTGTAGTATTTAGAATATCTTTAAGGTTCTTCTCCAGGACAGGAATATGTACTCACCAGAATAAAGAAGAAAAAGCAAGGTGATGTATATCACTCTTGAGAAGGCCAACATTTTATGAATGATACACAAGAAAACTCTGGAGTGTTGGTAAACACAATAACCTTGGATAGCAAATAAAAACAACCAGGAATCAGTCTGAAACAGTTTCTTGATTTTAGTAAGCAGTTCAATTCATTCAGATTCCTAATTAAGGTATTATTCCCTTTTATCTATTTCTAAAACAGGAGTCAACAAAGTCATAAAATATGATGACAGGAGACCACCCAGATACTACAAATGATAGACGATGGATGGAAGGATGGATGAATAGATGGATAGATGGATGGATGCATACATACATACATACATACATACATACATACATGCATACATTCATTCATACAAGTATAAAAAGTAAACCTGGAAAATACTAAGACAGTAAAAATTGTAATGTTTGTGTGAGAGAGAGGAGGTGAGAGATTTAAATCAGGTTTTTCAAAATAACGCCTCCATGGTCATTTTTTTGGAGGACACTAACCTGGAGAAGCCCTCAGACAAGGCTGTCTTGCTGGGAGTCCCACTTGACCAACCTAATACAGAGAGCTATTTGGTTTAAGAACAACAGTTCAGGGACTGTGTCTACTTTGCTCATTCCAATGATTACTTTTATCTCTTCAATCAGAGCCTATCAGCAAAGCCTCCAGTTTATCTATGAGGGATGAACACTGTGGACTATGAAGATTGCATATGGAAGATAAGACATGGAGACATCATGAATTCACCGAGGCTGGAGGTTGTAAAACAGGTTTTGAGTGAGGCCTATCAAATTTGTCTCAGTAGATCTTTTCTTCGCAGGAGACATCAGGATAATCTGTCCTCATGAACTCATAAGTACTAAAACAGTGAAAGTGGTCATTTATTCTATAAAAGGGAAGATGCATAAATCATCTCCAAATAAATAAGTTATAAGAGGAAAAGAGAAACAATGAGGACAAATAAGTTATAAAATGATATTTAGACATGGGCATAAGTTATTAAATATTTTTAAGTAGACAGATGCTAGAGTCATGGCAACATTCTAACAACAGGGAAGACATTGCTGCTGTCACAGCAGTGAATTGATAGTTAGGAGAAAAGGCCTGAACATTGCATGGGCAAATGCTCCCAGCTGAGTCTCATCATCAGCCTGGTTTAAGGAAGCTCCCCCAAAACAGAGTTCAAAAGTGTAGAGCAGAGAGAGTGGCTGGGGGAAGTGACCCTGTTAAAATTTATTAACTATGTCTATCCAACTTTTCTGCAACTATAAACACTAGGAATGGATTCTCACTGTGCCTGTCCTGAGACACACTTTCTACTGCTGTACTTTCGATCAATTGCTTTTTGTTCCCTGAATATATAGAGATAAATGCCAGTTATATAACTGGTAGTCTATACTTCATTAAATCTAGAACATTAAAAATAGACCTTTGCCATATTTCTCTTTAAACCTATAATGGCTCCCTCTGTTAAAGTATTTCTTGTTCTCCTCTATTCTTCCCAGTTAAGTCTTCCTGATCCTTCATGCTATCCCCACCCCTCCTCTTCTCCCCTTCTCTGTTTTCTTCCTCCTTTCCTCTTCCCCCATGCTCCCAATTTGCGCAGGAGATCTTCTTCCTTTCCCCTCCTCCAGGGAACCATGTGTTTCTCTCTTAGGATCCTCCTTGTTTCCTAGCTTCTCTGGAGGTGTGGATTGTAGGCTGGTAATCCTTTCCTATATGTCTAATGTCTATATATGAGTGAGTACATACCATGCTTGTCGTTCTATGACTAAATTACCTCACTCAGGATGGTTTCTTACATTTCCATCCGTTTGTCTGCAAATTTCAAGATTTCATTGTTGTAGGATTATGCATCCCTTGGGTATTTGCCCAAGAGTGGAACTGCTGGATCTTGAGGTAGACTGATTTCCATTATCCTGAGCAACCACCAAACTGATTTTCAAAGTAGCAGCACAAGTTTTCACTCCCACCAGCAATGGAGGAGTGTACCCATTTCTCCACATCCTCTCCAGCATAAACTGTTTTCATTACTATAGCTCTATAGTAGAGCTTGAAATCAGGGATAGTGATGCCTCTGGAAGATCTTTTATTGTACAGGATTGTTTTGGCGATCCTGGTTTTTTGTTTATCCATATAAATTTGAGTATTGTTCTTTCAAAGTTTGTGAAGAATAGTTCTTGCATTTTGAAGGGGATTGCATTGAATCTATAAATTGCTTTTGGTAAGATTGCCATTTTTTACTATGTTGATCCTACCTATCCAAAAGCATGGGAGATCTTCCCATTTTCTGCTCTCTTTTGATTTCTTTCTTTAAAGACACAACAAACTTCTTGTTTCCTGACCTTAAGGAGTTTTACATTCAACTATGTTACTTTCCAAAACTTTAGATTGTCTTCTGGGGATTTTCCACCTCAAACTATTCAACAAAATCATCTTAGTCTATTTTTGTTATTTTCTCAGGTTTGTTTCAGCTGTGATGCACTCTGAAATCTGTGAACATTAAGATTAAACAAATTTAATCTAGCTGGGCTACTGGTAATCAATTACTTTTCTTAATAGAAACTCATATATTGTAGAAGTAGTGAACTTCCTTGTTTTATTTTTAAGCATTAAAACTCAGTATAAGCTAAAATTATTATTATCATTTAGATAGTACAGCTTAGGAAGGTGTCAACTTCTTGAAAATCCACAGCAGAAACAAAATACATTCTGGGGTCTGCCATATTTGTTTTGTTTGTTTTAGGGTTGTATTTTTTAACCTTGTGTAAGTGAGATTCACCAATCAGCAAGTCTCCTCCTGGTGGGTGATACCCTGAACTTCAATTTCCACCTGCTGCTATTCTGACATGGCCACTGGCATATTTATATTGCCCTTGTGATCAAATACCTCATCTGAAATAAAACTGTGCCAGTTTGGGCAATTACATTTTGGTGTTGCTGCCAACCTGACACTTGATGATTTCATTGCACAGGTTATGCTTAAAACCTGCATAAAAATTCATAGTGAGGGTCAATTCCTCCATACAGGTTAAGGTTCCTCTAAGGGATGAGTGTTCCCAGTGAAGTTTTTGCTGTTTAGAGCAAGATTAAAACTCAGAAAGATTGATAGAACCATCTACTGTGTTCCACACAGGAGACAGTGAATAGCTCATTTCAAAAACAAGGGGAAGAAAAAAATCAAATCTAGAGAACTGATTTTTTTTTGCAGTGAGTGAAAAATCTGATATATTGTCATGGTTCTCAGACAGAAGGGTCACCCTCTTGATTCAACAAGTAGTTTCTCTGAAAAATATGATAAGGCCTCCAATGTGTTTATATTCATGAGTTAACATGCCAAAGTCACCCCTTGGTTTTCTGAAACAAATGAATGAAAGAGCTTTGGGGATTGTGTATGCAATTTCTGTGCCTTTCTTGAGAGCCTGGTGCATTCCTGTGTCTTGAGACTACATTTTGTGCTGCCCGTGTAGCCAAAGCAACCAGTACCATAGCTGCAGACTCAAGGCTAACCCTACCAGAAAAACCTGTAACAGCTGTTCCAGATGAAATGTGATAGAAAGGCTTCCCAGAGACTGCAGCCAGGGAGGGCCGCCTTCAGCACCCCAATGGAGAAAGGCAACAACGCATAAGCAAAGCAGGAGCTCTAAAGTGTGGTCTGGGCACCACATCACTACCAATCCTGTGGGAATACAGAGACTGCCTTAGGACAGCGTTTGTATTGGCTATAAAAGTCTACATGCAGGGGAAGGTGGGCTAGTGAAAGTCAATCCAGTGTATAGCCCTAACCAGGACCAGCGAATGAAGCAACAGCCTGGAGACAAAATAATATTCATTTGATCACATTTTCTTATATCCCCACACTTCTCTTTCCCCACTACAGCTATTACTTATCTGCCAGTGATTTCATCGCCTTCACCCTGCTAACAAACATTTATTACAGATGTAGTGCAGGTCAGAGTAGCAGACCAACACTGCCACCTGCTGCTCATATCATTTACAGGCTTGCTCTCGCTACTTGCTTTTCCTTTTTTTCCTTCCTGTCTCCTTTTCTGTATCCTCACCTCTTACACCTTCCAAAGGCCAGCGGCTGGTCTGCTTTATGATATCTGGGTAGATATCTTGAACCTCTCTTTTTAGCATACCACTAACTAAATTCTCACAAATTCCACCCCCATTTTTTTTTACTTTGCCTTAGGTATTCTCACTCCCCTTCTACTTCTCATCCAGAAACTAACACTAATTAATAGGCTCACCGAGACTGCTTCATTTTCTTTAATTATCCTTTCCACTTGTGGAAAAAATATCTAATTTGTCATTGTACACAGAACCATCAGGGTCACTTTCCCTTACTCACTAAGCTAATCAGTACAGAACAAGAGTCTGGTTTATAGTCATACACTATTCAGCTATTAGAGTAGGTTAACTGGAGGATAGGGACAGTTGCAGCAAACAGTATTTGGCCACAAAACAGATTGAACTTAGAGTCTTGTGCTTGAACACCAGTTTAATAGATGAAAGCATGACTACAAACTAACTACAATACAGTCTGTCTCCCGAACACTGCAAACAGACACATTGGAAAAAAAGAGATGCAACCTAATTTAATGAACAAGAAATAACAATAGAAATTTAATCAGCTATTTAAACCATGATTTGTTGACCTCAATGAAATAACAAAAGAAACATGAAAAACAAAAGGGGTTTTCCCTCCCAAAATTACCAATACCATAGCAAGGCCTCTGGTAGGAATGACTTAAATGAAATAGCTGGTGCAGAAGTCAAAGGAAGGTTTATAAGTATGATCAAATGACTCAAAGCATATACAATCATTTTCTAAGACAACACAGACAATTTGATGAAATACAGTGTTAATACATGCTTTTAAAGTGGAATTCAGTATACTTTCTTCTCAGCACTTCATGGAATCTTCTCCAAAACTGGCCACATATTAGGTTACAAATCAAGTCTCAAAGGATTTAAGAAAACTGATTGAAATAGCTCCCTGTCATCTTATCAGACAACAAAAGACTAAAGCTG